AGGCATGATCTGCCTGCCACGAACCCGTGCTGGTTTCCCCTCAGCATAATTTGTCCTGCTGGGCTCTCGCAAATGTTTTTCAAGAAATTGGGGTGCAGTTCTCCCCGAACCCCTGCACTGATCTTCTTGAAACTTAGCAGGGTTCATGATCTCAGCAGAGGCTACCAACCCTGCAAATTTCATCCAAATCAGACAAAAATCAACAAAGATATAGATATTTCTTTGATTCCCCATTATACCCTATGGCCGGATCTTGGAAGCAGCTCTGAAGCTTTTCCATCAAGAAATTGGGGTGCAGTTCTCCCCGAACCCCTGCACTGATCTTCTTGAAACTTAGCAGGGTTCATGATCTCAGCAGAGGCTACCAACCCTGCAAATTTCATCCAAATCAGACAAAAATCAACAAAGATATAGATATTTCTTTGATTCCCCATTATACCCTATGGCCGGATCTTGGAAGCAGCTCTGAAGCTTTTCCAACCTGGTTCAGAAGCTCCGAACTGCTTTGGAAAGCCTAACGAAGCCAGTGCTTCGATCCAGACATGCTGCTTTGGAGGCCAAAGTGTCCGAAGCTTCTCCAGATGCAAAGCACAGTCCAAAGCCTCGCACAGCCCTAGTAATAGCCTATGCCAGCCAAACCTTGCGTCAGCATCTGCTGACGAAGATCAAAATCTCCGTAGATCTCACACTCAGCTGGTCTGTGCCTGGAGGAATAACTCATGTTATCCTTGCAAAATCTAACAGCGGTAATCATCCTATCCTCACCTGCCACGTCTTGTTGTCACTTATTGGTATTGGGAGGTGTTTCCTTTCTTTAGAATTTACTTCAAGGATATATGAGGGTTATCTTCTCGGGGGCTCCAACCTCGCCTTACACCACTAACTAGATGGTCTGACAGCGCACTACATGTCAGCCTCCAACAGATGTTCTGTTTCTTCATGGGTCTTATCTTTTCCTCAGGGTCTCCTTTGGTCCTAGTTTTCAGAAGAAAGATGTCCTGGTGAACTCAGAAGCAGATCTGCTCATGGCTATGACTGACAGGGAATGGTAACTGCTAGCGGGCAAGGCCCTGGGGCACTAGGCACTCATATATATATATATATAGTGCTTCATCATCATCTTTTTTCTTTTTCTTCTTTTTTTTACTTAGAAGCCAGTTTTTTCCTGGACCGTAAGAACACTCCTCAGTAAAATCAGTCCTGGGTATAAACAACTGACATCCCAACAAAAGTGAAAGTAAAAACCAAGAGAAAATATATGTACCCCAGGGCTAGGCAGTGTATTTACTCACAGCTGACCACAATTATTACTCTGCTCAGGGCTTCCCTTTCCCTAGAGCAGGGGCAGGAAATTATTTTGGGCAGAGGGCTGTTTACTGAGGTTCAGCAAGCCATCAAGGGCCGCATGACAGGCAGCCCAGGGCAGATTAATATTAATTTTCTAAATTTTTTAGGGGCCCCGCGGGCCAGATAGAATGGCCTGGTGGGCCGTATCTGGCCCCCAGGCTGCATTTTGCCCACTCCTGCCCTAGAGGGTCTGACTTCATTCAGCCTTCTCCCTCTATGTTACTATAATGTTTAGTCTATGCCACTGGGTCCCAGGGACGGGGCACTCACGCAGCCCTCCATGCCTTTGGGGTTCTGTCCTTGAGTCGGCATGCAGCAGAGACCGGTGGGGTGGCAAACAGCTTTATCTTTAGGAACAGGATTCAGCAACTCACATGCTCACAGCTTGCAGGGAGAACTACAACTCCCCACCACCACAAACTACACCCACAGGGCATCACGGGGAGCGACTGGGTCGTCTCACTGCTGGCCTCTTAAAGGTGCATTCCATATACCACATCCCCCTTCTTTACTTTGGGAGCTCCCTCTTAAATAGTTGGATGTTCATCAGGTGCTACTTTAACTCGGAACATTTCAGGATCATTGAGCCAGAGGTTGCTAACACGTGGCTCACCGGTGAGGGCTAGCCTTTACTGCTATCCCATTATATAGTCCTTGTACTTCACAGGCAATATCATCACACGTCCACTCTTAGTTTGCATGGTGTCATCAGGTTCCTCTGTGGGTTCCTCTGAGCCTTTCCTATCAGCTTCGCAAAAATCACTTCCAGGGGTTTGCGGTCCAGCTGGAGCCGTAGCTGGCTGCTGTACACATATTGGTGGAACTTCGTCATGGCAAAGACAATCGCCAGAAGTTCTTTTTCAATCTGCACATCATTTCTCTAGGGCTGTGTTACAGCTCTCGAAGCATATGCAATTGGTTGATTCTGCTGAAACAGGCATGCTCCTAAGCTGTCTTTGGATGCAGCGGCTTGGATTTCCAGCTGCTGTGCTGGGTTGAAGAACTTGAGCACAGGTGATGCCGTTGTGATAGTTTACTTGAGCTTATCCAGGGCTGCCTGCTGCTCGGGTCCCCATTGCGTCACTCCCGAGAAGTGCTTTCAGTGGGGCCGTCAGGCTTGGCTCATGTGGCATGTATTGCGCCAAGTACTGAATGGTTCTGAGGAATCTCTGAAGGCCTTTTTTGTCTGTTGGTGGGGCATCCTGTTGATGGCTTGTACTTTGTCATCGTCTGGTTTGACACCATCTTTTGAGAAGATATGGCCTATATACTTAACACTGTAGACTAGAAATTGTATTTTGTGCTTATTAAACTTTACTCCTTTCAGACATGCTCTCCCCAGGACTTGTTTCAGGATAGTGTCACGCTCCCCTTTGGTAGCCACTGCAATGAGCATGTCATCTGCAATTATGTGGATTCCTGGAATGTCACCAAAGCACTCGTGATTCTTCTGTTGGAATACTTTGCTAGCCAACTTAACACCAAAGGGAAGGCGATTGAATTGGTACTGTCCCCATGGGGTGTTAAAGGTACACAGCGTTGCCAATTCTTTGTCCAATTTGACTTGCCCGTAGCTGTCCTTTTCATCAATAATGGTAAGCAGCTTCTTACCTGACAAGCTCTTCTGCACATCTTCTACAGCGGGAATCAAAAAGTGCTGCCTCAGCACTGCCTTTTGGGGGTCTCATGGGTCTAGGCAAAATCATAGCAAATCATCCTTCTTTTGTGTCATCACAAGGCTATTAACCCAGGGTGTGGGCTTAGTCACCTTCGTAATGATTCCCATAGCTTCCAGTGTTTCGAGGGCAGGCTTCAACTTGCCTAGGGTTGAATAGGGAATTTTTCTACATCCATGGACAACTGGTGGTACTGCTCGGTTGACACAGATGCGGTGGGTACCAGAAAATTGGCCCAAACCTTCACAAACATCCGGGTATAGTTTGAGAAGGTCCACCTTGGTTGCAGGTGTTGTCAGAGCCATTCCATGGACTTGTCTGATAAGGTCTAAGGTGGTGTATGCCACCCTGCCAAGTATTGGTGGGTCATGATTGTCTGTTATAAAAGAAGTTAAATCAGATTCATTAGCACCAGATTTGCAGTGTGCAATGATTGCATCCTGTGGTTTGATGCGTGCATTGCCAAATTCAACCAATGCAACATGAGCTGGAGTCTTGTGTACTTTGGCCCAAACCCAAAGCCTTTGCTACATCTCCTGGGATAGTGTTTGCTTCTGCTCCAGTAGCTAACTTAAAATCAACTGGCAAGCCAGTAATCATGACTGTGCTATACCAGGCCTTCTGGTTATCAAAGGTCTGTGAAAGCTACCTTGTCGATCGATATATAGGGTGCTGACTGTTTGCAGATGTTGAAGCCTCTCCCTTTGATGCACACATTTTCATGAAGTGGTCCACTTCAGAGCATTTGTAACAAGTTTCTCCAAAAGCTGGGCAGGACCGAGACTTGTGTGTGCTTCCACTCCTTCTGCAAGCTCTGCCTTTAGTTTGATTGCCCACCTGTGCAGCAACCTTCACTGATGGCTTGCTTTGTTTTTGCCAAGTGCTCTGGCAGCTTTGCTTTTGCTCAACTGTATGCAAACTTGCTTCTCCAGGCATAACTCGAGCCTGAGCACTTGTGAAAGCCTTTGCCCTGCAGATAACCACAGAGAGTGCTAGGGTGAGGGAGGGATTTTCCAGAAGCCCTTTCCTTGTGCTTGCAGTCAGTTATGCAGAAGACAATTTTGTCCCGCAACCATGAAGGATGTGTGCCCCCAGCGGCTGGGGGAGTACGGTGGCGCTGGTGGTGGTGGGAGCGTGATGGCAGTAAGTGGGGGAGCTCCCGCAGATGCCGCTGGTGCTGTCAGCGGTGGGGCGAGGAGGGGGTGGCGAGTGCCAATCAGGGGTTGGCAATTCCCCACAGACACCGCTGGCAGTGTTGGCAGCAGGGGTGGTGAGCAGTGACTGCTTGTTAATTGCTCAGTTAACGAACCCAAGCCCCAACCACAGGGCTAAAGCAATGTCAGCGCCTGTCTCTGAGTAAACACCCCACTGCCCCACCCCAGAGCCAGCTGCAGCTCCTGTCCCCATTATGCCCACCCCTGCTCCCCTCCCCGGAGTGAGCTACCGCTCCTATCCCTGTTACACCCAGCTGATGCCCTCCAGAGCTAGCCACATCCCAGGGCCAGGCAAGAGGCCAATATGTAGTTTACAGCCCTTAGGCACAATGCTCAGTACAGGTTCAAGCTGCAAACTGGGGAATGTCCAGAGGCTGCACAGCCTTCTCCGCACCCAGAAACCTCGGTTCTCTACCTGCCCTGGCAGGGACTGTCTTCACATCTGCCCTGGCCCTGGCATAAGTTCAGAGTTGCCCCTTGACAATCCCTGCCAGCAGTGCCCCTGGCATGGTGGGGGTGCTTAAGAGCCTGGACACCTCATTCTCTGGGGAGGATTGGGGGCTTGTGGGTGACAGCAGCAGGCAGAAGGAGCCCGGATGCCTGGGTTCTCTGGGAAGTAGGATCAGGTGTCCTCGAACAAGCGGTGGGGTTGCAGACTGAACCCCTGGGTTCCCTTCCCTGAGCTCTGAGTCACCTTGTGCCTTCCCACAGCCTCTCCCAGTGCCCATATGAGACAGACCAGTGCTGAGGGCACACAAGCGCCATGATGCCCGCCCTACACATGGCCATGCTTCTCAGGCTGCTCGTCATTGGTGAGCAGGTCCCATTCCCCCGCAGAGCCAGCTGCAGCTCCTGTCCCCATTACACCCAGCTCAACACAGCACCAGTTGCAGCTCCTTTCCCTATTATGCCCTGCCTGATGTCCCACAGAGCCAAGTGCAGCTCCTAGCCCCATTACACCCAACTCAACGCCTCCCAGTCAGCCACAGCTCCCATCCCCATTACACCCAGCTCTGCCCCAACAAAATCAGCAGCATCTCCCCACAGCCTCTGGCCTGCACTGCCCAAAATGCCTGCCTTGGCAGGCAAGGTTCCTTGGGTGAATTTGATATCTTTTATTAGACCAACCCAAATAGTTGGAGAATAGTTATTAAGCAAACTTTCGGGTTCAAAAACCCTTCGTCAGGCTAAGGAAGTGTCAGCAGTTGGTGTGTGCTCTTCCTGGATGGAATGAAAAGTAAAGAAGCCAGGGGCTGGGCTGGGGAGTCGGTTGCCAGGCAGATTATGAGGTGGCGACGTGCGCGCCGGGACAGAACGCCTGCGTGGTGCAGCAGCTGAGCCTGACTCCAGGTGAGACCCTGGTGGCTGGGGAAGCGGGGCCCAGATGCCTGGCTTCCCAGGGAGGGGAATGAGGGCTGGAGGGTGAGAGCAGGGGCGCCTGGGAGCCCGGGTTCCTTGGGAGGCCGCAGGGCTTGCTGGGTTGTCCCAGTCAGATAAGAGTCCCTCCTGGAGTACCTGGCCATCTGCTCCAGGCCCTGGACACCTGGGCTCTGGGCTCACCTCTGACCTCCTTCCCCCTGCTGCAGTCATGGACGACGCCCTGCGGGTGGGCTGCGCGGCTCTGACGACCTGTAATCTGCTCCCCTCGGACACCGCAGCCAGACTCAGCGGATCCAGCTTCTGCTGCACCACGGACCTGTGCACTAATGGAAGCTACATCCATATGTATGGCCTCTCCCCAAAAGCCAGCTGCATTCCCACCTGTGACACCAAGCCCTGGCCCCCAAAAGCCAGCCCCAGCTCCAGGCCCTGTTATATCCAGCCTCATCCCTGCCAAAGCCAGCTGCATCTCAGTCCCGTTACACCCAGCCCGATACCCTCGAGATCCAGCTGCAGCTCCTGTTCCTGTTGTACCCAGGAACAGCCCCATCCCTGATCCAGCTACAGCTCCTGTCCCCGTTGTACCCACCCCATTCACCCCAGAGCCAGCCACATCCCAGCCTCGTGTCCCCACAGGTGACCCAGGTCCTGCCTGGCGTCTCCCATGTCAGAGCTGCGTGGGATCTGCCTCAACCTGCGGCCCTGACACCCCAACCTTAACCTGCCCTGGCCGCCAGGCCCAGTGTCTGCAGCTGTCCCGGCGCCTGCTGCCTGGTAAGGCCTGGACACCTGGGAACCTCCTGCAGGAGGAGGGGGAGCGGTTCTGGGTTCCTTCCTCACGCTGGGTGCGGGGAGCCCGGACACGTGGGTTTGGTCCCCACACGGGGAAGGGATGTTTGGTGGGTACTGTGAGCCTGGACACCTGGGTTCCTCACCAGCCCTGGCAGGTAGCAGGCCTGGTGCTGGCTTAAATCCACAGTGGCTGGTTCCCGAGCCCAGACGCCTGAGTTACGAGATGGGGGGCGTGTGGCAGGGGTGAGAGCAGGGGGGCTGGGCATCTGGACACCTGGGTTCTCAGGACAGGGCATGGGTTGGGGCTGAGGGCCTGGGGGCTAGGCACCCGCATGCCTGGGCTCCTCAAAATGCTGCATGCTAGCCTAGCCCCCTCCCAACCCTCTGCCCGTGCCTCAGTTTCCCTGTGGCCTCACTTCCCCCACATCCTGGCAGGGTGGGTGGTGGGGGCCCTCTGAAGAGCTGCTGGCCCTTGCCACGGGGCCTGACCTGGCGTATGTGGATGTGCACGTGCAGCGCTGCCACAGCGTCGGTTGCAACAACAGCTCCTTTGCTGGTAACTCTGCCCGGGTGCCTGGGGCCCCTGGGCAGGGAGTGGGGGTTGGGGGGTGAGAGCAGGAGATTTGGGAGCTTGGGGCAGCGTGGTAAAGAGAGCCCTGATGTCTGGGTTTTCTCAGGGTGGGGGCTGTGGGATGAGAGCAGAAGGGGCTGGGAGCCCAGACCCCTGGGTTTTCTGATGGACCCGCCTCACTCCACACACAGAGGTGCCTCGGGGGAAGCCCAACGGGAAGCTCTGCTACAGCTGCAGGGAA